TAAGAAGGTAAATAAATGCCCTGAAAATAAACTGCTTGGGTGAGGATGAGGAACAGGGTTGTATAAGAAAATTCTTCCGTATATTAATATTCAATACCTCTTTGGCAGATGTCACCATGGCCTTAGGGGGCATGGATCAATGTGTGGAGGAAGGTAGCTCTTCTGTATAAAAATTGCAATAAAAACTTGCAGCCCATGGCACAAAAACAACCACGTATTTTAAATATTTTCCTAGAGGGGCAGATAAACCGGGACATTACAAAGTCCTAAACCCAACTCACATCACCTCAGTTCCTGACTGGCAGAAATGATTTGTCCCCTACTCTAACTGCCTGGCAAAGGTCAGGGACATCTCTTGGGCATGGAAAAGTAACAAGTAATCAGAGAGCCCTTTTCTGCCCTCAGTCAGTGGAGCCTATGAAGTCCACCTAATGGAAGACCCTGAAGCATGGTCAGGAAGCCCCTCTTAGGGCTGAGTAGTCCCTTTTCACACCCTTCCTGCTGTTTGGACACAGTAACACAGCAAGACCCATCAGAATAGATTGAACTTATCAAACTGCATATTGCACTGTAACAGGATAAAACATACTTGCATTCAACCTACCTATACTTGACTGTCCATGTATGGTTCTCAGTCGGGGAAAGCTTTAGATGTGAACCCTCACCGGGAGAATGTTAAGATGGTAAGATTTCAGTATAAGCCAACAAACTTAAGCTCTAAAAATGTATAAGTCACACTAAAGAGGAAACTCTGGTCAACAGCCAAAACTGGGAAAAACAATTAACAAGCACCTTCAGTTTTAACTCCTATTCCTAACACCAATGAAAAATATATTCATTCATTTAGAAATAAAATGTTCTGAGCATCTGTGATATAGACAATGGAAATAGCACCGTGATGTGCAAAAACAAGGCTCTGCCCTCATGTACGTTTCCAGAACAATATAGGAGGAGGGAGGCCAAGGTACAGTATAGGACAAGTCAGAATGAAAAGGCCACAATTGGCAAAGAACAAAGAGCCATTTACTGGAGCTGGAAGTCAGGAGAGGCTTCTCACAACATGTAATGTCTCAGCTGAGACCCAAACAATGAGGAGGTGTAAGAAGGAGACAGGGGAATAGACGAATATTTCATGCACAGGAAAATCATAAGCAAGAGGCCTGGAGGCAAGAGAAATCGCATCCATTTGGAAAACAGAAAGAAGTTTATCATAGAGGCTCCTGGGTGGCTGAGTAGGTTAAGCATCCGACTCTTGATCTGGGCTCAAGTCATGATCTCACAGTTTGTGAGTTCAAGCCCCACATTGGGCTCTGCACTGACAGCATGGAGCCTGCTTGGAATTCTCTCTCCATCTCTCTCTCTTTGCCCCTATCCCACTTGTGCTTTCTCTCTCTCAAAAAAAAAAAAAAAAAAAAAAAAAAAAGAATAAACTTAAAAAAAAAGGAAAGAAGTTTATCATAAAGCACAGAGGTGGTGAGAGAGATGATGTAGGAGAGGTAAGAGGACTACTAGCAATGAAAAGTGGGCTAAGTGATTCCAAGAAAAATGGCAAACCACTGAAAGGTTTTAAAAAAGAACTCATAAATATGTTCTATTTTGTAAAAATGTTTCTGATTACTCTGTGGAGGAAGAATTGGACAGGACCGAGAAAAAGGTCTAGATAAGAGAAAATGGTGAACTGGGTAATGGCAATGGGGATGGAGAGAGGTGAACAGATTAATTAGAAGCTAGAAAAGACCAGGCTTGACTGGGTGGAGTGGCAGAGTGAGAACGTGTTCGGAATGCTTGGGTTCAAATCCCAGCCCTGCCATGTACAGAGAAAATTGTTTCACCCTTCTGCACCTTAGTCCTCCTTTCTGAAAAGTACGAATAATAATAGTAAATACTTATGAGATTATTGTGGAAGATAAACAAGTTAATTCACAAAGTACTTAGGACGGTTCTTGGCATGTGGTAAGTGCTCAAGAAAATACTATCTATTATTACTGAGTATAAAGCTCAAAACTAGAAACAGTTGTTCATTAACTACAGAATGGGATGAGGGAGGAATGGGGAGGAAATAGTCATGGTTCTCACAAAGGATTTAGGAGTGGTCCTATGGGTGGATGACTGAGCCAGTTATCTATCTATTGCCTTTCAGCTCCAAATCCACTCCTCATTTCATGCTCTGAGATAACAGAGATGGACCCAGTAAGCATTTACCTTTTGGGGCTACAATAATTTTAGGCTTTGTTAGTAAAAGGCATTAGAAGGGTACTATGGGAGGAAGGGATTTCTCTTTCTGGCTCAAATGGGTTTCCATTTGCTTCTTTTTGTTCCTACACATGGCTGCCCGTGGTGCATGTTCGGGACATCTGGTAGCACTCATCCCCGTGGAGTTGATTCCCAGCGAGTCTCAGAGATATCCCAGAAGTTGCCTTCCCAGCCTTGGCCCATCTGCACCCTGGAAGAGTATCTCCCACTTGTGAGTGTAGACAGGCTCTGGCCTGGGGTGACCCAGCAAACTTCTCTGCCATCCTTACTTTCTCCAATATGGTCTGAATCCCAATCAGCTTGCCCTTTCCTTGGATACTCTCCCTTGATTCTAGTGTATTCTTTACCCCTTTATAGTTAATCCCCTTTATAATTAATAATGCTTTATATTAATCAAACTACTGTTCAAATTACTATGTATTTTCTATCTCCTGATTGGACCCTGACAGAAAGAATACTGTTCATTGAAATGGGAAACATAGGATGAGAGACCGGTGTGAAAAGATAAATTCCAATTTGGACATACAGCATTTAAGATGCCTGTGGGGCATCCCAACAGCACTGTGTGGTCGGAAGCCAAGGATGTGGGGGGTCTAAAGCTCAGAAGTGTTCAAGCTGGAGAGAGAGGCTTAGAAGTGAGTTGATTTCAGGTTCCTAAAATCTTAGTGAAGCATGTATGTAAATGCCACGTGTCCGGGAGATAGATTTTTTTCATTTTTTTATGCTCATGTCTCAGCAAGAATCCCTAAATATGCTATGTATGTGGCAGCACATTTCATCAAAAGATTTATGATGATTTCATACTGTGTATGTTAGGTCATGTTGTTTTATAGCAACATTTTCGAAGCTAACTGAAAATACGGCTGAAAAAGTGCCAAGCCCTATATTAATAAGATAATTCTAATTATACTCCAAACTTGGAAGTTTGAACCTGGTGGAGACAGGGGAGTAATTAGTCATATCGGCTACTCTAGATGCTGACTGCAATCAGAAAAACTCTAATAGATGTGTCAAAACCTCAAGTAGCAGTACTGAAAATGGATGCACTGCTAACATTTCAAACAACCAGATAACAGAACGTACTTTGAAAGAGACCCAGGTGGATCGTTTCCACTTTTTCCAGGGTGTGAACTCGGCCAACATAACTTGCTCCTTGCGTCACCCATTTCTCAAAAGTTTGGATCTACTGACCACAAAAAAAGGAAGTTCCATCAGCAGTTTGCAAAGGAACAATTTGAAAGAGAAATGCATTAAATCCTCAGGGAAATTAAAGCCAAATAATCCAATAACAGTGTTACAAAATTAACCCTAGACTATGAATTGAATTAATTGCCTCCTACTGTGGGGCTTCTTGGCTAGCACAGACTAAAACAAATGAGGCCAATGATGTCAACTGCCTTTAAGAGAGGCTGCAGGCAAGTGTGACCTTGGGGTACTCAAGAGTTTAACCGTTGTTGTTTTCCTAATTTATTCTGGAGATCTATAATATAGAGAAAGGTCTTCACTTCTGCCCATCGCAAACCTCAAATCATGGTAGGTTGTGGAAGAGGCTCAAGATGGCACAATCCATGACACAAAAAGATGTGATTTTATAATTTGCTCTTTTGTGAATTCACCTCTAAGTGTCTGTATCTAGAAGTAGCTAAAAATCAATCACTATAAGCTCTTTTTTCCCTGAGAGGGCTGAATGGGCAGATGGGAATAAATAATGATTTCTCTAGAACCTAGGTAGTCTCATGATAAGACAGCTGTTTAAGAATACCAGTCATCTGCTCCAAAAGAGACTCGCTTTGGCATTTCAGTAAATAGCCATTTATTTCTATAAATTCTTTTCTTATGCCATGATGTCAGTATGCCTGTGGCAATGTGAGATTACCTAAATAATATGGGCCAGGGGACCAACAAAATTAGCATGTGTGTGACTTACCAAACCTCTGCTAGGGTTCTTAAGGGCTCTGAGGAGAAAGGTAGGGTGCAGCAGCACCACAGAAATAAAATCCCAGTGATTTATACAGTTTTGCCAAATAAGGCCCACAGGGCAAATACAAAAGGCCTGGAACTGCCTCCAGCTTCTCCTGAGACAGCCAGTTTGTCAAAACGCCTAGCACATGGTCTGATGCCCACCTTTCACGTCGCAGCTGACATTTACTCCTGAAGCTTTTTCATAACCAAACAGCATTTTACAAAAAGTTAATTAATGGCATTTATTTGGGTATTATGTGACTTAGAATTCTTTTTACATTCTTAATTTTCTTTGACATTTTGAAATTACTATGCCAAACTCTTTTGTGTGAGTAAAAAAAAAAAAATGTTTTTTTTTTGTTTGTTTAACATAGCTCGCATGTATTGAATACTATTTTTTTTTCCTTCTGAAGAATTGACGCAAACACCAAAATATTTTTTATTTGAGCTCAGAGAAATGAAGCATTCTGTTTGTTCGGACTCTTAATTACCATGGCCCCAAACTTATCTAATTAGAAACTCCTTCATAATGAGGAAAATTATTTTCAAAGTTAATGAATTTGCAAACAGGAACATAGCTGTCTTTCCAGAATGAATTACCCACATTCCTTAAATACATAGTTTAGTTAAACACTCTAATTAATATTAGTACTTAAAACATGTGGGATTGGTTTCACTGTTAAATCAATCTTTCCTTTGTTTTTAGACAGTATAAAAAGACCACGATTCCCCATCTTGCAGACATCAGGCTGCACATAGAAACTTAATTCTAGATTCTCAACAAAATGAAAGTTATTTCATCAAAATGCTTTATTTTATTGACTTTAGCCACTTCAAGCTTGTTAACATCAAGCATCTTTTGTACAGATGAATTAATGATGTCCAATTTTCACAGCAAAGAAAATTATGACAAATATTCTGAGGTAAGTTTTTTAACTCCATCTAACATGACTAGCATTAACTATATATATGTCCTAAATCTGATGCTTTTTTGTATTTTGTAAAGCGTAAGGAATAAGTTAGTTTGTGCTTTGTTGTTTGTCAAACTGCAGGCTTCCCATGACAGTGCACTGATATAGTTTGTATTTTTTAACACGACAGCAAACAGCCTGGCCTCTCTAATGACAATTTATGTACAGGGTATGATATGTAACAAGTATAAAGGTGCATTAGGAATTTTCAACGGACTCAGAAGTACACAGTTGTAATAAATAATTGCTGATATAAGATCTGGATATACTTCAGCTGAACATTTGAATGGTCTTCAACTACAAACTAAAAAAATACAAGGGTTGTATTTTCTACCTAGCAATTATGAGCTGATAAGTTTATGGTAAATCTACATCTAAGTAAAATATTTATCCCTAGATGGTGGAATTGCAAGTTATTTTTATTTTCTTCTTTATGCTTTTATACATTTTCCAAACTTGCTGAAATGAGTACATATTACTTTTTACAATCAGAAAAACAATCATTTAAAAATCTTAAGGGGGCACGTGGGTGGCTCAGTCGGTCAAGTGTCTGACTTCAGCTCAGGTCATGAGCCCCTTGTTAGCCTCTGTGCTGACAGCCAGTGCCTGGAGCCTGCTTCAGATTCTGTCTCCCTCCCTCTCTGCCTCTCTCCCACCCTTTCTGAACTAAATAAACATTAAAAAGCAATTTTTAATCTTCTTAGGGACAGATTTTCATGGGAAAGCTAAATTTAATTAAATATTTGTTGTATTTTAAGTAGTTCTTTTAATTTTTTTTAATGTTTATTTGGTTTTGAGAGAGACAGAGAGAGACAGGGTGCAAGTGGGGGACGAGCAGAGAGAGAAGGAGACACAGAATCTGAAGCAGGCTCCAAGCTCTGAGCTTCAGCCCAGAGCCTGCCACAGGGCTTGAACTCACAAATGGTGAGACTGTGACTGTGCCACCCAGGCACCCCTTAAGTGGTTCCTTTAAAGTTGGTAGAGTAGTGGTGCAGTAACCCACAAACCAATCACTGCTTTAATAAAAAATGTAACTTATAGGGGCGCCTGGGTGGCGCAGTCGGTTAAGCGTCCGACTTCAACCAGGTCACGATCTCACGGTCTGTGAGTTTGAGCCCCGCGTCGGGCTCTGGGCTGATGGCTCAGAGCCTGGAGCCTGTTTCCGATTCTGTGTCTCCCTCTCTCTCTGCCCCTCCCCCGTTCATGCTCTGTCTCTCTCTGTCCCAAAAATAAATAAACTTTGAAAAAAAAAATTAAAAAAAAAAATGTAACTTATATACTAATACAAATGCAATCGGTTTCTTAAGCAATGCTTTTAGAATGGAGCTCTGAATGTGAGCAGGTAAGAAAGAAATTCAGTGGAGCCTCCTCTAGCTGTACCCCAAAACCTAGCTAGCATCTCTCATTGCATTTATCCACCACTTTGGCATTTAAAAAGAGGAGAAGCAAGAGACATGAAGAGGCCGTGTAAGGTTTCTCTAAAATCAAAATATAAAAATATATGAACTATTTCATAAACAGCATGAATCAAAAGCTGAAAGAGAATAACTTCAGCAAAATAAACTTTTGCCTCATTTCAATACTTTATTATGTTCCTGCTGCTCAAACACATTGCTGTATTCACTATATGTTTTTTATTAATATTTTATGGTTGTCTTACAATAGTCCAGGGACAGAGAAACTAGATTGCTTTAAGAAGCCTAATGCGAACGCTTTATTTAAAAATTCTGCACATTAACACAAACTTTGTTTATAGCTTTAACAATGCTGCAAACCAAAGTCTGGACTTAAGTTAATTTGGGGTTTATACCAACTATCTAAAACAATAACTTATTTTAATATTCTTTTCTAATCATAGCCTAAAGGAGACCCTGAGGGAGAAAAGGAAAGAAGTCTCAGTTTTGAAGAGCTCCAAGACTGGGGTCCAAAAACTGTCATTAAGATGAGTGCACCCACAGTCAACAAAATGCCACACTCAGCTGCCAATTTGCCATTGAGATTTGGGAGGACCATGGAAGAAGAAAGAAGCACTGGGGCAATGGCCAACCTGCCCCTGAGATTTGGAAGAAATATAAAGGAAAGTATCTCAAGACATGTTCCTAATCTGCCCCAAAGGTTTGGGAGAACAACAGCCAAAAGCGTCGCCAAGACACGGAGTGATTTGCTCCAACAATCCATGCTTTCACCATCTGCCAGTGAGTTACTCTACTCCATGAACTGCCAGCCCCGAGAAATCCAGAATCCTGATCAAAAACACCCATGGTAAATACCTGAAAACCAGTTAAAATGAATGGGCAGTTATGTATAGCTGGTCCGGAAACATTAAAAAGGACTACCTCTTTTCAAAAGTTTCTAAGAAGGTTAAGTTTCTTAGAAGGGAAAGGGTAAAGAGACAGGGAAATGAATACCTGAACTGAGAACTATAGAAGTGCCAGATATAAACACGACCACAGGTATAAAGTAATGAGGTGGTTTCCCCTAAGCCACACGTGGGCATCAGTCTCATCATTCTATAGCCACATACTGAGTAGGAAAATCCTGATTACGGGATTGGGAATTTAAGCCTATGACATACTGTCCAACATTTAATCTCTTTAATGTAAAAGATCCCATATGAGGGAACTGTCTGCAAGTACACAGGATGCCATTTCAATACACCAGGTCTCAAATTCAGAAGGTTTTCTTCATCAACTTTAAATCAAATTTTTTTCTTTTTCTGGATCTCATTTTATAAATGAGTGCTATTACTATCATTGTATTAATAAGTATTTATGAAGTATCTACTATGCACAAATCAAAAAGCAAGAGTTTCATAAAATTAATAGGCAAGCTACCTCTTATTCCTTTTTTATTTTTT